TCCCCCAGCCATTTCTAAAAGTCTTCCCCTTATTTCTTCTGATTATTTTTTTCTGTATTGCCTGTTTATTAGTTCCATTATGATCCCAAATTTGCAAAACTAAAAAGAAAAAAAGAAATCCCAAGAAACGTGAAGACATACACTTGTGCAATTATCCCTCTGAAAGATCCACATGTAAGAGTTAACAGCTTTGCAGAAAAAAGACATGCAAAAAGGACAATATCTAATTAACTTGTTCATTTACCTACATAATTAACAAAGCTGGCTATATTTGTTTTTTTTTTTTGTGTGCACAAAAAGAAGAAACACAACATTTCTGAGATTAAGTGACTTTAATAAGCAGTTTAGAGCTTTTGGTGTCCTGCTACTTAAAAATGGCTTTAGCAGATATAACCACACTGGGGATAATTTTATTAAAAATCAGATAAAGAGAGACGGGTGCAAGTCATAAAAATAAAGCACATTTGCACTTGTCAATAACTAGAAACCAAGAAGAGCCCTGAGCAGTCCAGTCTATTCAGAAGAGCAGCAAATAATGTTCTTTTCAGGTCTGATTCAAATCTTATTCTAGCTATTTCATTGCCAAGAACACATAATCTTTGCATTTGAGGCCTCTCTGGAAGTCCCGCAATTCATAACCAAGTATTCAAGTGAGCTAGCTACTGTATATTCTTACACTATCGGAAGCTTCATGGTGCATTTGAATAGTACTAAAATTAACCAGAACCTCTGTGAATAACTGATGTGGATTTTATTAGTCTGCACCTTTGTTTTGCTCCCACAGAAACATACATCAATTACAGCTGAAAAGAGGAGAGACTACAAGGAAATTCAGGGACGGCAGGAATTTCTCCTTGCTTGTTTTCTTGCATCACTATTGAAGAAGGAAAGTGCTTTTATACTTACAATAGCAGTGGGAGTTGAAGCCAGCACGCAATACAACACAAGCGGGGAAATAAAGCTCTCGTCCTCTGCTCCTGGGTAAGGCTTCATCAAATCTCCATCCTGGCAGAAGAAGCCCTGGATGTGCACCTGGAAAGTGTCAGTGCACTCGAAGTAGTAGGCGAGCAGAACGGTCCCAGCCATGATGACAAGCTGAAAATACAGCATGGTCACACAGAGACATTAGTTGCCGTTTAGCAGAAGCAGCTGTGTCTCTGAGCTACTTTAGTCCCACGGAATATCCTCCCTCCAGCACCCCAACAGCTCTTCCAGCATTGCTCCGTGCGTGTGTGTGTGTCTCTCTCTCTCTCCTTTGTAACATCTGTTACATAAACCTTTTGGCAAACAACACTAATGAATGTCTCCGATCGAAGTGGGTCTGCAGCATGGCTCACAGAGGGATGGGAGCTTTGGCGCTTACATTATTAAAGGGTGTTTGAGTGTCACCAGCAGCGACGTTCCGTGCAAAGCGGCCGGACAGCCGGCAGCACCACTCTGCTAGTAACCACCTGTGCAAACGGGCAGGGACGTGTGTAAGAAACGAAGGGGACCAAAAGCCACTGGGTTTCAGCTGTGGAATTCCGCCAGGGCAGGGGAGAATATACACGTGCGAGCCTGGGGAAGCCCTCGGTGGCCCAGCATATGGATTCCTCTTGAGGTAAAGCAGATTATCGAGTTTGCCCTCCCATGGAGCTGCCACTTGCAAGGGAAGGGAAGCTTTACAAATAGCTATTCAGGAAGAGCTCAAAAATCTGCCAAAGGGAATAACAGACCCAGCTTTCTTCCCAGCAGATCCTGCATGACCACTTCTCTGCTTGGAACTTCCGACTTTGGGGCTCTGCTAGCTTTCTACAGCCCCCTCCCTCCCTTTCTAGCAGACAGTAGATGGTTGTGACCAACATTCCCTCTAACTTTTCCCATCCAGGTGTGGAATAAGTTTTGTTCTGTGCCCCGCAGCATATGCAGATGTGCACCACCAATAGAAACACACACTGCTGGCTGTGGGCACGCTGCCAACCAGCGAGGCGGCATTTTAATTTCTCCTGGGCAGCAGCCCAAGTACTCAGCTTACAGGGAACACTGGTAGTGACCACATTTTTTCTACCAGGATCCCTTTCAGCCTGAGACTGACTCTTTAAACATGCTTGTTTAAGTAGGATCCATCCCGGTGTCCTTTTTTTTTTTTTTTTAAACTAACACTACAATGACTTGCAGGTGAACAATGCTGGCTTGGAAGCCCAGGAGATGGGCCTTCTATTTGGTAACAGCCTAACTGATCCAATAGGGACACAACCGTGCCTAATCCTCCCCAGATTGCTGACCCCCACTTTCCCTAGCCCTGACCAGAAGGGATTATCCCGCACAAGGGAGAGGATAAACCGGTTTGCTTGCTGTTTGGCCTCTCACCCAGCCTATGACGGGACCAATTAGCACCACAACCTGAACATAATACGTCATTAATACTGTGGTCTTGTAACA